GGATGATACGGATTACAGTAGAACTTTTAAGTTGCCCAATCGTAGAACATGGTCAACGCCAGCAAACTTGTCATAATGTAAGTGGCACACAACTCGGTAACCAAGTGGGCACAACAATTAGTTGTGCGGTACAAGAACTTGTATAAATCGTGCGCGGGGTTCAAAATTAGGTTGATGGCAGTGTTTGGAAATGAGTCGTAGCGCAGAAGCTTCCTGATGTACACAATATGAACATGTCTATTGTTCTTCCCAGTAATTCTACCTCGTGCGGAGTAAGCTGACGTTTTGGTATATTTTAACCTACTGTTTCTGAACGTCCAAGTTTGCTTTTTTCAACGGTTATAATCACATCCACACAGACTTAGATCTTTTGCTCACACTACATATTGCTTTTCACTGTTGGACATATTGGCAATGTTCCAGTCAAAGTATGGTCGGCTCGCTGGAAGATATGGAACATGTGTGCAAAGCCCAGCCGAAGTCAAATCTTACTACTACGACGGAATTTATACTACTGATGTTAGTGTTTTTTATATTTCGAAGAACTTTTTTTTCCAAATATTACTTTGATAGGGTTGCCTTCGTTCCTGTTATCAAGATATGATTTATAAAACGTGCGGTTGTATGGATCCGCGATACCCGGTGGCACCAAATATTTCAACTTGTGAACTTGCCGAAAGTGAGCTTGAATATCTCTGCCAATTCACCCCGCCTATAACGAATTTTAAGGGATATGCATTGACGAAGCAGTGGAATTAAATGGAGATCCTTCAGAATGGAAATCATGCAACTGCCCTTTACCCTGCAAAAATCAGCAGTACTCTGTGGAATGGCATCGTACAAAGTCTCCTTTAAGAGTTGGTCCCTAAACTCCTAAAAAAATTTTCTGTGGCAAAAGAGATAGAATGCTATTCTAAATTTGGACATTGTCGGTAATCGCAGATGCGAAAGGTTACGGTTGGTCAGAGGTGTCGGTAATCGCAGATGCGAAAGGACACGGTTGGTCAGAGGGCTCAAAGTTTAATTGTGGACCTAGAAATTATCCCTAAAATCAGCTATAAAAACCCATTTTTTAGCCATTGCGTTGTTTGCAATACTCGAACTCAGCCTACGACGATTGTTGGGAAGTTTACAATGACGGCGCTCTCATCACAGTAACTCTACCTCGCCTGGAGTATCAGGTTTTTGCTGAAGTTCCTGATATGGATGTAAGAGCGGCACAATGAAAATGTTGTACTCCGCAAAGATATGCTTTATTTTAGATTAATCGCTTCATATCCAACTTGGGAGGTCTGCTGGGCGTTCTTATGGGAGTGTGCATTCTCTCATTCATAGAAGTTGCCGTCTTATTTTTTCATTTAATTGCGATTGCCTGTTCAAAAAAGTAAATGCCATCCTAAAAATTACGATGTAACAATCATTTCTCGTTTTTAGTACACGTATTAAGCGAAGCAATTACAGCAAAAATAGGTTTAGAAAAGACGGTAATATAATAATGAATACGAGTAAAAAATCCAGCCTTTTATTCAAATAATTAAAACTAACACATTTGGTGAACCATAAGCTGATGACTTTCAAATCAAATAACTGTCATTATCATTATGTGCACTGTGAAATGATTGCCATTGCGAGAGCATACCGAGCAATCTAAATGCGTACAAATTTGTAAAAAGGTGGTGTACTGCTCTAAGATGGATTGAAGGGTTCATGAATTGAGTGAAATGAATATTGCATGCTGGATTGGTGTCAATTGTGCCAAAATGATT